CCCCCCTTATTCCATGTAGTTACAGGGTAAATACAACATTTGCGGGCTGTAAATTAAAGTGGTGCTTGTTCCCCCTTATTCCATGTAGTTACAGGATAAGTGGCTACAACAAATTGCTCTGAAACGATTGTTTATATACATACATACATACATTATATATCAGGTAATATATCAATAAACATGGTGACTGTTTTATTTAATTCAAATATTATTTGAAATTTGGCTTTTAAATTAAAATCAAACAATATGACAACAGTAACAACACAGGCAACAGATAATAAAATATAAAAATGTATTACACCAGTTCAGAAAAAAGCAAAGCAACTCCATACTTATACAGCTTATACAGTTAAAACCAAACTCTTTTATGTTTTTCACCCACTGATGAAGTTAAACTATTATGGCCAAACAATCACGTCAATAAACACACAGTAATAAACACTGAAAGTCAAGAACTATAGCGAACTGACAGGATTTTACCATTTTGATCCACGTCCTCAAGCACCATTTTGACTAATGTTAGTTCACAGTGCCAGGCATTCCAGTCAGTTTCATTAAAAAAAGAAAGAAGAAAACTTGCCACTTTTCACACTTTTTGTGCTGGTCATAATCCTTGGAAGTCAAACTCATAATCGTAAATAAAATGAATCGCACAGCCCTAAAATGCAAGAGTTTTATCCGGTGGGAAAGGGTCTGAAATGGCTCTTTTGTTGTTGAGGGTTGCAGACCCCTGCCCTCGGGGGTCACGAGGAGTCAAGCTGTATGGATCTTGGGTGTTTGCAGGCCTGGAGAGTGTCACGTAAATTTGCCGCTTAAGGTTTGCTGAGTGTGAGAAACTTTTTCCGCACTGATCACAAGTGAACGGTTTCTCTCCAGTGTGGATCCTCTCATGCGTTTTCAGGGCTCCTGAATGAATGAATGTCTTGTCACAGCGTGAACACTTGTAAGGTTTCTCTCCAGTGTGGATCCTCTCATGCGTTTTCAGGGCTCCTGAATGAATGAATGTCTTGTCACAGCGTGAACACTTGTAAGGTTTCTCTCCAGTGTGGATCCTCTCATGCGTTTTCAGGGCTCCTGAATGAATGAATGTCTTGTCACAGCGTGAACACTTGTAAGGTTTCTCTCCAGTGTGGATCCTCTCATGCGTTTTCAGGGCTCCTGAATGAATGAATGTCTTGTCACAGCGTGAACACTTGTAAGGTTTCTCTCCAGTGTGGATCCTCTCATGCGTTTTCAGGGCTCCTGAATGAATGAATCTCTTGTCACAGCGTGAACACTTGTAAGGTTTCTCTCCAGTGTGAATCCTCTCATGTGTTTTCAGAGTTGATGACTGACTGAATCTCTTGTCACAGCGTGAACACTTGTAAGGTTTCTCTCCAGTGTGAATCCTCTCATGTGTTTTCAGAGTTGATGACTGACTGAATCTCTTGTCACAGTGTGAACACTTGTAAGGTTTCTCTCCAGTGTGGATGTTCATGTGATGCTTAAGGTTTGCTGAGTGTGAGAAACTTTTTCCGCACTGTTCACAAGTGTACGGTTTCTCTCCAGAATGAACTCTCATGTGTGCCATAAAGTCTCCTTTTAGTGTGAAACTCTTCCCGCACTGATCACATGTGTGTGGTTTCTCTCCAGTGTGGATCATCTCATGTGTTTTCAGGGCTCCTGAACTCGATGACACAATGAACTCTCATGTGAAGTTTAAGATGACGTTTGCATGTCCATCTCTTTCCACACTGAGTGCAGGTGAAAGATTTCTTGGATCTTCTTTTCTTTAAATCTTTCTGAGTTTGAGAGCAACTCAAAGGTTTTTTTCCAGTTCTGAAGTGATTTTTTCCCTCAACTTCACTCTTCCTTAAATCTTTCTGAGTTTGAGAGCAACTCAAAGGTTTTTTTTTCACTTCTGAAGTGATTTTTTTCCCTCAACTTCACTCAGTTCTTCATTCTCCTCACTTTCTTCAGTCAACTCTGAAATGAGAAAAGACAAACATGAACCCTAATGTAACAGCAGAAAGTAGACAATTGCTATACATTTTGATGCAGTTTTATAAATACATCGACTTAGCTTATTGCTCGTGTGATATTGTTTAACTGTATTATGTAAATATGCGACAAAAACTCAAACGGGCATTTTTGCCCCATATCTTGAATTTTAGGGACATTCTAACTATAGGTCTGGGGCGGGGCAAGTGCGTTAAATTAATTTTCACACATTATTTTTCACCGTAATGAATTAATCTAATTAACGCATTAAATTACCATCCCTATTTAATACTGTCACATGGAATTGATGTTAATGGCATTGAAATTCTGCAGCAAAGCGATGATATCTCAGATCATTATCTAGTCTTGTATAAACTCCATATAGCTAAAACTTCAAATTCTACTCCTTGTTACAAGTATGGTAGAACCGTCACTTCAACCACAAAAGACTACTGTGTAAGTAATCTTCCTGATTTATCTCAATTCCACAGCATATCCAATAGCTCAGAAAAACTTTATAATTTAACAGAAACTATAGTTCTGTCAGGACCACTATCGTCAAAGATGATTGACAAT